TCTTGGTTTGTTTTAGCTGAAGATGTAATTTACATTCTTTACAACTCATTTAAGGCATATATTTCAGTGACTTTTATTATATTCAGAGTTGTGCTTCCATCTCCATAATCAATTTAGAATATTTTCATCACCCAAAAAGAAACCTCCTATTATAGTCAGTCACTGTCTAGTCCCACTTCCCTTAACCCCCAATTGTTATCTCTACAGATTTTATTCTGAACATGTCACAGAAATAAAATCATATAACACGAGGTCTTTTGTGTCTGGCTTCTTTCACTTAGCATGTTTTCAAAGTCCATACACATTGTATATATGTATCAGTACATTACTTTTTTATTACTGAAAAATGTTTCATTTCATTGTTTTGACTTTTTAAATCCAATTGTAATCATTCCAGATACATAATGTTGCCTTCAGCATTTTTTCATGTCATAAATGCTTCATATAAAATGTTAAGGGAAAGAATAGTGTCCCATATCAGGTGGCTATACCTTAGTTTAGTCATTTCTTTTTGGAGATGTGAATGATTTCCAGTCTTTTTTATTGCTAATCAACTTTCTTAAATGTGGTGGGTGCTCTTTTTTTAATGATCCATTTGGAGCCAGGAAAATGTCTCTCCCAGAAACTTTTAAGCTTCCTAATTAGATAAGCCATGGAGGTCAATAGTTGTATTCTTCCAGGAAAAAACTAGGATTTCACCTATCTCAAATTTAGGCAAAACCTCAAATTTAAATAGTCTCCAAACTATGCAGAACACTCATAATTATAAATACAAATTAACTATCAACTACCCTTACTCTTCCATCAGAAATCTAACTAGGAATGAAGGAAAACACTGTCTAAATATGATGCCTAGTCATGGAGCTTATAAAAAAAAAGAGAGAGCTGGGTGCAGTGGCCCCCTGCCTGTAATCCCAGCAGCTCTGGAGGCTGAGGCAGGAGGATCATGAGTTCAAAGCCAGCCTCAGCAAAAGTGAGGCACTAAGCAACTCAGTGAGACCCTGTCTCTAAATAAAATACAAAATAGGGCTGGGGATGTTGCTCAGTGGTTGAGTGCCCCGGAGTCCAATCCCCAGTATCACCAGGGGAAAAAAAAAAAAAAAGAATGTTTACTTTCACAGCAGGCTGGTAAAAAATAGAACATCTTGACTAAAACAGTAAGGATATATTTACTCCTGCTACTGGATGATAGCAAATTAAATCCAATATGTAGAAGAAAGAGGAGGAGATACCACTGCACAGACCACAAGGGTTTTCTTAAAATATTATCAGGGCCTGCTCTTTCCCATTCAGTAACCAAAAATGTAAACAATTTCTAAATCACAAAGACTTTTTACATTCTAAAGTAGTTTTAGAATTGTTAATCCCCACCCAGTAAAATCCTTTAGAATCTAGTCTAAAAATAAAACTATGTGTCAAGTGTTCCTAAAAAAAAAAAAAAAAAAAAAAAAAAATACTATGTACACTGATTGGAATGTGATGCCAATTAACACACTTCATGAGTAATTTGCCAAAGAAACTTAGCTAGCCTGAGCCAAAACCAATAACAAAGAAACAACACCCACTTGACATTTTCCTTGGTTAAAGGGAGATTCTAGGAGTAATTTTAGAAGGCAAACAGATCTGAAGTTAACTACTAAAATCACTGAGAGCTACAAGTAATTTGGGAATAAAAGGAGAAAGAGAATGACTCAAACACTGTAAAATTAAAGGTGAAAACTTTAATATGTAATTAAGGAGTTTTTAACTCACAACTTTGCAGGCAAGAACAAAACCCCCTGTCAGGAGGATGACAGATAAAATAGGACAACCCTATGCCATAAGTATCAACTAAACTATGATCCTCATATCTAGTGTTATATTTTGAACCTAGTTAGATGAGCAATCAGGAAATTTGCCCCTCAATGCACATGCCAAAAATAAGAGACCTAAACAACCACATTTTAAAAGAGCCCGGTGTTCCTGATTTTCCAATTAATTTGGTCAAGGTGAGCAATTTTCCAACTACAGTCATGTGTTTTTGAAAAAAATGACTTCCAGGATCTGCACAACTTAGAAAACAAAACAACAACTTTGCAAGTCGAATCTTGAGTTTGTGGTTTCATAAACCCCCTCAACTGTCACATTAGTTCACTGCCTTTCAAAGGCAATATTTAAGATTCTCTCCTGCAAGTCAACATTAAGGCCTGCTGTTACGTTAACAAGCGCCTCCCAAGACCCGGATTATTAGGTATGGCCTATTATGTTCCTAACATGCAAACAAAAGTGCTGGCTCATGTAACATTTCTCTATTTTTAGGCAGTGGGTTACTAACAAACTGTTCATCTGAGATTTAAATACAGAGGAATCACAATTTGCTAACAGAATTTTTGAAATAGGAATTTGAAGTTATTAGACTTCCCAACTCAAAAATAAATCTAGTGCTCCTACAAATGTCAAATTTAACTTTCAAAAAGTTATGTTGTTTAATCTTCATAGTCAACAATCATCATACTTCAAGCTAAAAGCAACTTGTGGCAGAGCAACTATAATATAATACTAGATGTTTAAACACTCTTCAGTTTTCACTTTTTGTCGATAATGACCAGCTTAATGCTTCTTTTTCCTACTAAACCAAATCCCTTAAAGTATGTTCAAATGTATTTCACTCAAGCCTTCCACTTCAAAGGCACAAGTTTTTTCAACTACTGACTACAACAAAAACTAAGCAATCCTGCTACAACCTATCATTGCAAACACCACATACCTAAAAGATAAGCTTTTAGAACAAAACAGTAACAGGTTTATTTTTCCAAGTATCCAGTGTTCAACTGGGTCAAATGTTTCTGTTGGAATTTAAACAGCTTATCCCTTGAAATGATAAGGGTAAAAACAAATGGAAAGAATCTTAATGTTCTTCAGTGATACACTAGCAACAGAACCCAAAAGACATTTAGGAATTGCCAGCTGAAGTCTTTTAACTCCATAATAATTATTTTAGCATGAGCATTAATCACAATAGCTGTTTAAGAAAGATAAAGACTTGTTAATAGAGCTAACTTTATAACAGGCCTGAAAACCGAAGAATCAATCCAAAGAAACAGTCTACAATACAAAATACCAGAGGTTAGGATTGTGGCTCAGCGGTAGAGTCTTACTTAGCATACATAAGGCACTGATTTAGATCCTCAGCACCACATAAAGATAAATAAATAAAGGTATTGTGTCCATCTACAACTAATTTAAAAAAATAAAATAACTTGCCTCCTACACTTTTTCAGATGTAGGTTTTACATAATCTGCCAATTTCTTATGGGTGAGAAACAGTTTATACTGTCAACAGTCATTCAAAGTTCAGAATCAGCAGAGGGTACCACGTTTATAAAACAACATTTTTCGGAGCCAGGTATAATTTTATAAGAATCTTTCGCAAGAATCTCTAGAAATAGGAATTTCAGTCCACTCTCCATTTTATCAGCCAATTTCAGTCCACTCTCCATTTTATCAGCACAAAACCCATAATGTTCTTGACTGAGTTTAACAAAGTAAATCATTTCAACAGCTATCAGCTTTAACATCACGGGGGCGGTAGGGGGTAGCTATCATCTGAGTCAAGAATCAGCAACACCGGGCTGGGGTGGAAGCTCATTGGTACAAAGCCTAGCATGCCAGAGGCCCAAGGTGAGAGGCCCTGCACCCCACCGCCCGCCCCCCCCCCAAAAAAAAAAAAAGAGAACATACCTTTGGAACAGCATGAAGTCAATCAACCAGGTCACCACTATCTACAACAGCGACCATCACGCTCAACTTTGAGACCCTCACGCCTCGCCATTTCCTTCTGGCACCCCAGATTGTCTGCCGCCCCCCGAACTCATCCCCAACTCCTGCAAGCTCTGCCTGGGTGGCAGCCGAGCCTTCAGCTTACGCGGCGCCCCCTCGGCCTCACCTGGGCAGCACCGGCCCGTCCTTGCAAACTCCGCACAAAACCTCCCGGCGCCCGAGCCTCCTCCGCTGTCCGATTTTCAACTCCCCCAAGCAAAACTGGCTGCTCCGAGTTCCCAGGACACTCGGTCCACCGAGCCTTATCGCGCCGCATTGTTCCCACGCCCTGGGAGCGCAGGGCGGGCGGGTGGACTCGGCCCCCCGAGGGCCCCGCGGACAGCACCGCTCAACCGACGTGCGCGGCGATCCCCCCGCACTTCCACCCAGTGACCCCCCTAGCGCCCGGACACGGCTCATCATGGAGCCAGACGAGGTCCCCGCCATTCCTCAGCAGTCCCAGAGGCGCACCCAGGCCCTGGACCGAGAACAATGAATGAACGCGGCCGCCCCGCCTCGCCCGGTGCCCAGACTCCCCGGGTCCGAGCGCGACGCGCTCTGCAGAGCCCCGGGGCGGCCGCGGGACTGAGGCGTCCGGGGCGGCTCTCGCGGCCCACAAAGGGCAGCCCGGGCGCTCCGAGCCGGGGCACCCCGAGGCCAGGCCCCGGTGGAAGCGGCCCGAACCTCTCATTAGCAAAACCCGCAGAGCCCAGAAGCCCAGGGCGCGGCGCGGATGCCTTTGTGGCGGGACACTGACCCATTTCGTCCTCCCTTCCCCGACTCCTCGCGTCCGCCCCCGAAAGGTGTCACTCGGGTCAGGAACCCAGGGAGGAGGCGCCAGCCGAGGTCCCCCCCGCTCCCTGAGCCCATCCGAGTGACAACAAAGATACGGGGCAGCTCCGGGCGGAGTCTCCCGCTGCCAAAATAGGAGGAATGCGCACTGGGCACCGGGGCGGCGCTGGCACGTCTCCGCCCGCCCAAGGAAACCTGAGGAGGGATGTGGGGGCTAGGCTGGCCGGCCATGATACCCGGCCCCGGGGCCCCCGCCCGCCCGCCCAGGGCCACCCGGGGTGACAGCGGCCTGGCCCGGGCCCTCCGCCCGGCAGCCGCGGGGGGCCGCTCCGTCAGCGCCGCCCCAGGCCCGTCCCCCCGGGCCCGCCGCCGGCCTCCCGCCGCACCCACCACCCAGCCTCGGAGCCCACCTGAGGGAGCCAGGCCGCCCCGGCGACCTGCCGTCCGGGCGGCGGCGACGGCGGCGTCTGGTCCGCTCCTCCTCCTCCCCGCGGCGGCTGAGGGAACGGGAGGCGGTCACATTCGACGCGTCCCCAGCCCAGGGGACGGGGCCCCGGGAAGACCCCGCATCGTCCCACTTGCGCTCCGCGGCCTCAGGGCACACGCCCCAAAGCCCGGTCAGCTGGCCTTTTTGGAGGCCCAAAAGAGAGCGACCGAGAAGGCCTTCCCGCCTCACGCTCGTTCTTCTCTGACTCCCGCCATCTAAGATGGCGGCCCGAACGCCCGCGATGAAGACACTCTCGGGCGGCCCCGGCAAGCGAGCCCTCTGCTCGGTGCTCTTCTTCCCGACCTGCGGCGCCCACCGGCTCTCCGCTTCTGCGCGAGCTCTCCCCGGCGGGCCGTCGATTTCACTCTTCGCTCGGGGATCCACCGGTCGGGCCTGAACTCAGGCCCCGCCTCCGGGGCGTGGCCTCGCGGCCGCCATTTCAAAACTAAAGAGGCCGAGAGGCGGTGCCGAGGGGCTGACTCTCGGGAGAAGCGATCGGTAATCGCCAAGAGCAGGTGGAGGGGGCCTGAGGCCTAGAGGGGGAAGAGGACGGCCCGTCGGCCAGCATCTCAAGGCCCTCGGGTGGGTGGCCACACCTGCCCTGGACACAGCACAGTGTCCAGCTTTGGCGCGTCCTCTCCGGGCCGATCGCGGCTCCGCCTCGGGCGGGCTGTGTGGGAAAGTTGCCTCACCTGCCAATCAAGGAGAGGACCCCCGCATCACATGGGGGGAAAGAATTAAAAACTGATCGTCCAGTGTGGTCTCGGGGACCGTGGAGCCTGCGCGGGCCGGAATGGACACCCGGGGGGCAATGTGGCATCCTCGGTGCACATTTTGGGAGCCGGTACCCTCCCTGCCCGCGGCTCCGCGCTGGAGAAATAGGTCCGCACATGCGCAGAAAGGCCTGTCCCAGGTGTTGAGCACCAGGTGCTTTTCATCTGAGAAACGCGGGGGCAATGCGAATCCACGGGAATCTCGAGATGTGGGGCCCTGTCTCAGAATTTGTAGTAAACGAATAAGGGCTGGGCACGTAGCTCAGTGAAAGAGCGCCTACCTAGCATGCACGAGGCTCCCGGTTTAATCCCCCTGGCTGCAAAAAAAAATAAAATTAAAATAAAAAATATAAGATTCGGGTAATGCCTAGCCTGTATGTCAGGCCCTGTGTGTTAGCGCTGGCCCTGTGTGACAGTGAACACGTCAGGGCTTTAAAGTCTAGCAGTGGAGATCAGCAGCAGACACAGACACAGAGCGCCATGACAGTCAATCAAGACTGTGCTAAATCACTGAAGAGGGTGACGACAGAATTATTGGGCAAAGGGTGTTGCCTTTTAGATTTCAGGAGTCAAGGAAGCCCCCCCTGTGATGTGATGGTTAAACTGGACACCGAAGGATGAGAAAGACAGGCACGGTGGTTACAGGCCTGTAATCCCAGTGACTGAACTTGGGAGGCTGAGGCAGGAGGATCTCAAGTTCAAGGCCAGCCTCAGCAACTTTTGAGATGCTGTCTCAAAATTTAAAAAAAAATAAAAATAAAAATAAAGGGCTGGGGCTGAAGCTCAGTGGTAGAGCACTTGCCTAGCATGTGTGAGGCACTGGGTTCAATTCTCACCATCACATATAAATAAACATCGATCAACAACTAAAAAACTATTTTAAAAAATAAATAAAAAGGACTGGGGACGTAGCTCAGTGATGGAATCCTGAGTTCCAATCCCCAGGACCAGGCACACAAAAGAGAGCGTGGTTCTAAGCAGTTAGAGCCAAGGGCCATGAAGGGGGACAGGAGACCAGTGTGGAAGGAGTTAGGGAGCCAGGAAGAGATGAGTAAGAAAAGGACAGAGGCTAGAGTCATAGCCAGGCTGACACTCCTGCCTGTGACCTTTCCGTGCCATCCTGCCTCTCTGGTGAGTTTAATTTGTCACAGATGAGTTTGAAGTGTGGGTCTGGCCCTGGATGGGTGCTAGGAAAGAGAGAAATGTAAATAAACAGCCCTCCAGGTGACTGGGAGGGCACCCAGCGGAGGAAGAGAGTGACCGGCCCTGGCATGGCTGAGCAGAAAGCCTCCGCAGAGACCAGTCTTAAGCCAAGTGCTGAAGGATCAGTCGGAATTTTCCTGTTTGAGAAGGAGGAGCTCAGAGCAGGAGGCAGGAAGAGTCTGGATGGGCCAAGGACAGAGGCGGCACCAGAAGAGAGATGTTTGTGGGACAGCAGGCAGTTCTGCGGGGTTGGAGTTTGTGTCCCTGGAACAGGCGGGTGTAGAGGGAATGGAGGACAGGTCTGCAAGAGCAGGTCTCTTGCCCAGGGTCAACCCCCCTAAGGGGCACTTTATGATGTCCCAATGGGGTAAGGGGCTGGCCACCCCCAAGCTGTGATGTCATCTGCAGGACAGCCTGGATCAGTCCTCTTGGGAAGCAGTTAAAAATTACCACATGGAGCCAGGCGTCATCACACACCTGTAATCCCAGCAGCTTGGGAGGCTGAGACAGGAGGATCTCAAGTTCAAGACCAACCTCAGCAATTTAGCAGGACCCTGTCTCAAAATCCAAAATAAAAAGCCTTAGGTTACGGCTCAGGGGTAAAGCACCCCCCTGGATTCAATCCCCGGTAACAAAAAATAAATGAAAAATTTTAAAGAGATAAATGCCTCTCTTTGGTCCAAAAAATTTCTGTCTCTGGGAATTTATCGTACAGACGCACTTGGACGTGAAGGAGATGATGTATAAACAGGTTATTCCTTGTCACGTTGCCTGTGATCTAAACAATTAGAACAATGAACTGTGTCCTGACGTGGAGTGGAGAGACGTCCAAGAAATACTGTTGAATGAAAAAAAAAAAAATGTAGACAGTGTGCTCCTTTCTGCGAAAAGGGAGGACAGCATTTGCTTGCAGAGGCTTCCCAAGTACGTCTGGAGGTCACCTAAAATGCTACAGACAATGATCACAGGCTGGGGGAGGCTGGGAACTGGGTAGATGAGGTACAAGAGGGGAAAAAGGCAGTTTTCACCAGCTAGCTCTCCGTCATTTTTAATTTCTGAACTACGCGAGTGAGTGAATTACCCACCCAAAGCTTTGAAACGTGCCAGGCTCCGTGGCCTGTGAGCCCAGAAGCTTGGGAGGCTGAGGCAGGAGGATCACAAGTTCAAAGCCAGCCTCGGGCAATAGTGAGATCCCATCTCAAAGTTTTTTAGAAAAATAACCAAAAGGGCCTGGCTGGGTTCAATCCAACACACCTCAGGGCTAGGGGCTGGGGATGTGGCTCAAGCGGTAGCGCGCTGGCCTGGCATGCTTGCAGCCCGGGTTCGATCCTCAGCACCACATACAAACACCTCAGGGCTAAAGACCTTCATCAAGGGGCCCAGGGTCCCCTCTCCACCACAGTCCTCTGTCACCAGCTCTTATTTAATGAACCTCTCCTTTGTGCAGGGGAGCCAACTTGAGCTCTGGAGTCAGACAGATTTGAGACCAAATCCCAGTCCCCCCTCACCCTTATGACTCTCAGCCTGTCCCTCAGGTGAAGCAGGAGGAGGGACAGTTGCCTTCTGTCCCCACTGGGAACAGAAGAGCACAGACCCTGGCCACAGTGTGCCCAGGATAATGTCCCCCCCACACACACCTGCTGCTTTCCGCCTTACAGGGACAAATCACCAGGTGCTGTGGTCTGGATATTCTTTGAATGTGTCCCCCCCCCACCGCCCAGGGTTCCAGGCCCATGAGTTTGAAACTTGGTCCCTGGTGTGGGGGTGGAATCTCGAGATGTGGGGCCTTGTGAAAGGTCATGAGGCCACTGGAGGTGACACCCTCAGAAGGGATTCATCTAGGTCTCATGGGACCCTGGTTAGTTCCTTCAAGAACAGGTTGTGTGAGGAGTAGGGGCGCCCACCTGTAATCTCCATCACTAGGGAGGCTGAGGCAGGAGGATCACAAGTTCAAGGCCAGCCTGAGCAATTTAGAGAGAACTTCTCTCAAAATACAGTTAAAAGGGCTGGGGATAGAGCTCAGGGGTAAAATACTCCTGAGTTCAATCCTCAGTACTGAAAAAAAAAAAAAAAGTTATTAAAAGAACTAAACTGATCCCTGAATCTCTCTGATTTCTTGTCTGGCCACGTTGATCACTCATGTGACACCTGCCTAAAGGCCCTCACCAGAGCTGAGCAGAAGCTGACAACCGTAATCAAAATGAACCTCTTTTCTTTATAAAGTATCCAGCTTCGGGTATTTTGTTGTAGCAGCAGAAAATGGACTAATACATCAGAAGAAGAAAAATGTGGGCACTTTCAAGTGACCTTTAATCCTTTCCATTTTCTACCCTGGTTCTTGCCTTTTGGGGCCAAAATTCATCCAAAAATTATCCAGACTTGGAATCAACTTCTTCCCCAACCCCTCAAAGCCCCCAACCGTCTGCCTTGCACAGCCATTCCCAGAATGGACACTGCTCTTGGTGGTCCCCAGACACACCCCAGGAGGGTTTCCCAAGCCCTTGGCAGCACTTGGCCCTTCCTGTTGAAATCCGCCTCTGTGCTTCTCTCCCATCTCGCAATCCTCCCATCAAGCCTTCACAGAGAGTGGAACCCAGAGCTGCTCGGTGACTTCGTTCGTGCTGTTCCCTCGGAAGGAAATGCTTTTCCCTCCTTTAAATCTGGTTATGGACAACTTCTCCTTGGCACCTACTCTGTGTTCGCTGCTTTTTCCTGGCCTGTCATCGCTTTAAGTCGCAGAAACATCACAAAGCTTTGGAGTCAGACTTTGAATTTCCATCTCCTTATGTGGTTCTCTGTGTGCTTGGGCCAGGCCAACCAGCGAATCCATCTGCCAGAGAAGGTTTCCTGAGACAGGGGACAGGCCCATGCCCAGGGCCTCAGGGAGGCCTCAATTCCCATTGAAAGCATCTTATCATATGCTGCTGGGGGGCAGGGTGGTCTCAGGGGCCTGAGGTCAGCTAGCCACACAGGACCTTCCCCACCCCCACCCCTGAAGGCTCTCACCTTTGAGACTTAATGCTCCCTGCCTCTGTCCTGAAATTCTTGATGAGCCTCTTCCTCACCTCCCCGGAGTCTGTGGCTGCCAATCCTCTTTCTGAGACTTTTCCCTACCCTCACCCCACCTACCTGGCTCTCCCCCACCTCAGGTACAGGGTGCAGTCCTGCTTAACGGTCATAATTCCTCAAGTGTCACTCTCCTCCGTGAGTTGGAATAGTGTTCCCGTCGGGAGAGGAAACGGGAAACCAGCTGCTGGGTGCACACAGACCCCCCATCAGGGTCTACCCTCTGCCTGAGAGTACCCCCTTGCTGGGGGGAGGACAAAACTACTCTAAGATTTCATCTCACTCCAGTCAGA